TGCCCCCCCCCCCCCCCGCGCGCGCCGCCTCCCCCCGCCATACACGCCCCCGCGCCGTGGCGCGCCGCGGAGAGCGCGCCCGCGCAGCCGCGCTGCGATCCGGGCGGCGCGCGTGCGACGCGCGGGGGATGATGTGCGACCGGGCGCATAAATACCGTAGCTTACCACCCGCGCCGCCGCTACGACCGAGAGATCTGTATGTGGGAGAGGTGGGCGCCGACGCGCAGCTTGTGGCGGTTGGCGAGGCTTCTGAGGCGCACGTTTTCCTCGCGGAGCACCTTCTCGACGGCGCGGAGCTGCGCCGCGCGCCGGCTGGCCGCCGCGAGGTCGCGTCGCAGCGTCTCGTTGCGCACCTTGCGCTTGACGTTGCTCCGCGCGGCCGCGGCCCGGTTGCGCTGCTTGCGCAGCTCGGCCTTGACCGCCGTGCCGCTCGCCGCCCCCGCGCTGCCGCCGCTGCTCGCGGCCCGCGACGTCTCCGCCTCGCTCCACGTGCTCCACTCCTTCCCCGAGCAGCTCTTCGACGTGCTCCAATCCGACCCGCGCTGTACCACCTCCACACCCACCCCGCTCACCGCCTGCGTCCCCGTCCCTAGCCCTGGCCCTGGCCCTGGCCCCGGCCCTAGCAGCTCTGCGCCCTCCACGCCGAGCGCTTCGTCGAATGGTAACGGCGCCGCGTTCGCAGTCTGCAGCATCCCGTAGTCCTGCATGAATGATGCGTCCGGCGTTACCGCGAGCGCGGGCACCACTTCCGCCACCATGTTTCCGCTCCCATCATCCCACGCAGTCGCCTCCGCTTCGGCTTCCGCTTCCTCTACACCCATCGACAGCCCCACCGACAGCCCCACCGCCTTCCCGCAATCCCCGCCCCTGTGTAGAACGGACGACAGCGCGGGGGAGAACGGGTTGGCCTTCAGCTTGCCCATCCGGTCCTGCACGGCGTACCGAGTCAGCCTTGCGATCACCTTGGCATCGAGCGACCCGTTTATCACGCTACGCGTCGTCAGGTCTGTAATAACAATCGGCAGCGCCTCATTAAACAACCGCACCGTGCTCTCGCCCTGATACAGTCCCGTATGCAAGCTCATGTTCCTGCGCTCGTTGCGAAAGTCGAGCGCGTGCGCCGGCCTCTGAAACGGCAGCGTGCACCCGCACTCGCCCGCGTCTGCGCGTCTACACACCGGGCACGCGCGCCGCTCGTGCGCCACGCTCAGGAAGCTGAGCGCCTGCACGAGGTCGTCGGGGTGGAGCACGCCGCGCGGCGAGCGCAGGCTGCGCCGCAGCGCGTCGGACCGGAACAGCGCCAGCACGCGCGTGCGCCGCCGCGCCGACCGGTGCGACATGCAGTCCAGCTCGGTCATGCCCGTCGCCGCGTTCTCGGACAGCATCAGGAACACGCCGCGCTGGTCGTCGCGCACGTAGCGCGAGCACGAGACGTGCCCCGCCGACGTGCGCGTGTTGAGTGCCGCGTGCTTCACCTCCGACGCGCGCTCCTGCGTCGCGAAGCCCAGCACGACGGACCCCACGGAGAGTGCGGGCACGGAGCAGAAGAACGTGTCCGCCGAGAAGTCGAAGATGTGCGCGTATGAGGCGGAGTTTTCCGTGCCCGTGACGGTGATGCGCGCCGCGATGGCGTGCTCGTTCTGCACAGGCGCCGTGAGGATGGCGATGTCGGCGACCGGGTCGGGGGTGAAGAGGAAGTCATGGACGAAGGGGAGCCGACAGAGCGTGAAGACGTCGTCGAGGACGACGGCGACGGCCGGAGAGGTAGGAGGCATTTTGGGTGAAGGGGGAGGGCAGTCGGTGGTGGGGGGAGGAAGAGGAGGCGTTTTAAGGAAACGGGGGTGTTTTGCGATGGGAGGACACGTGTAACGTGATGTACAGAGAGAGAGAGGCGGTGGCCAATGCGGGGCCGATGCTACGTACTGTGTGATGTTTGTGGGTGAAGGTGAGGCCAGTGGATCTGTCATTCCGCCTCCTCACCAACCTTACCGATGACCACTCGCGATGAATGCAAAGAAGCGCCCAAGATCGGCACCCACGTCATACCTATATGCACGCACCTATATGCATCGGAAGAGGACCGTGGCGTTGTGGTACGCGCCCTGCCAGACGCCCGTTGCACGTTGCCGCCTCATCGCAAAGCCCCGCACGAATCCGACACGCACTCCGCACAAGCCTTTACAACATAAAAATACAATACAGCGGGGCCGCGCCGGCGCTCACCGCCTGGGGCGCGAAGCGGCCGCGACCCTTCTGAGGGCCGTTCTCAGGCGGGTGTTCTCGTCGCGCAGCATCATTTCCTTGACGCGGAGGCGTATGGCGCGCTGTGTGAGGCTGGCGAGGTCCTTGCGCACGCTCTCGTTCTTGAGCTTGCGCTTGAGGTTGCTGCGCGCAGCGGCCTCGCGGTTGCGCTTCTTGCGCATCTCAGCCTTGTCGAGCTCTGCGCACGACGAGGTCGACGTCATCGTGCCCGCGCCGCACACGCCCGACGCCTCCTCCCGCGTCGGCGTGCTGCTCTTCATCTCGCACTCCCCCTCCGTGAGCCGGCTCGACCCGGATCCGGAGCCCCACGAAGGGCACTGCTCCGCAACTTCGCCAAGTGTGAAAAAACGTCGCAAAATGAACGCTCGCTGCCGTTCTCCACCTCATCTCCGACCACGGCGTCCATCTCCGCCCCGTCATTGTTGCCTGTCCTATTCTCTAAATCCAGCATCCCCGCCTCCGTTCTCTCAGCCTGTATCCGCGGCGCCCCTGAGCACACGTCCTCCACACTTTCCATCCCCACAAGCAACTCGCGTGTGTCCATCAGATTGCCGGCCTCATCTAACCCGTCCCTGCTGGTCTGCGCCTGGTTGACAAACAGTGCGTCCGTATCCAGAATCTCCGGCTTATGCGGCCGCAGCTCCACGCACTCCACAAGCGCCTCCACCTCCTCGGGCGCGTCCGCCGCTAGCATGGCCGACAGGTTGAGCGGTGAGGCCGGCATGACCAGCGACGACGGCCGTTCTTTGACCTTGCCTAGCCTGTCCATGACTGCCAGCTTATGCAGCCGGGTGGTGGTCTCTGAGTTGAGTTCCCCCTGGATGACGCTCCCCGACTGCAACGTGGCATTAATAATGCGGTGTCCTGCACTGCACAGGCGCACGACAGTGGCGCCTTGGTAAAAGCCTGTGTACAAGCCCATGTTGCTCTCCTCGAACTGAAAGTCGAGCGGGTGGCGCGGGCGTCGGCGCAGAAGCTGGCACGAGCAATGGGTGGCGGTGGGGTCCCTGCAGACGGGGCACGATCGCTTCTCGTCCGACACGTTGAGATAGATAAGCGCGGGGGCGACGTCGGCGGGATGCAGTATGCCGCGCGGGGTGCGGAGGACGGTTCTCAGCGAGTGCATGTCGAACTTCATGCGGACGCGGGTGCGGCGCGTGGAGGACTTCTGGGTGAGACAGTCGACCTCGGTGACGGCGGTGCGCTCGTTGTCGGAGACGTGGAGGAAGGCGCCGGTGCTGTCGTCGCGGATAAAGCGGATGCACTGGAGGGCGCTCTCGGGGGGCTTGGGGGCGTGGACGGGCTGCTCGACGCAGAAGCCGGCGGTGATGGGGCCGATGGAGAAGGCCGGGATGGAGTAGAACATGAACTCCTTGCTGAAGTCGAAGGTGTGGGCGTAGCGCGACGAGGTCTCCGTGGCGTTGACGTGGACGCGGGCGGAGAGGGCGTGGCGCTTCTGCACGGGGGCCAGAAGCATGGAGATGTCGGCGGCAGGGTCTGCACGGAAGATAAAGTCGAAGATCCACGGGATGCGGCACAGCGTGAAGACCTCATCGAGGATGGCGTGCGTGTCCGAGGCGGACGGGACGGGGACGCAGAGTTGGTTCATTGGGGGGCTGGGGCATGGAGGGGGGCGGCGGGGGGGGGGTGCCCAAAGCGGGTGTGCCAAAAGCGGGGCGAGGGGGGTAGTGCGGGGGAGGGGGAGGGGAAGGGGAAGGGGGGATGGCGGGGGGTTGTTTGTAGTCAAGGGCGGTGTGGAGTGAGCTCTGAGGAGCAGACAGAGCAGGGCTCAAATTGTGAAAATGTGAAAACGAGGGCTGGGGCTGGCGGTGCAAGTGCACAGGCGGTTAACGAAAAAAGAGAGAGACTCCATTGCGGAGGGCCACGTGGGGTGCGTGGTCTGTTATGGCGGGGGGGTCACGGGAAGAATAATTGGTGCTGTGCAAAAATGTGAGACGAGATTCGAAAAAGGCCAACGGGGCGCTTCCACGTGCACCCTACTGAGATCTCGCAACGGTAGACGGCGCTCCGATTGGTGCAAGGGCAGTGCCCGCCAGTTGCATGTTCACGGCGCGTCGGGGTGGGACTTTTTAATTCGTGAATCTTCGGCTTACAGATGGTCTCTTACAGCCGTCGTAGTCTTCGGTTGGGTTTCGAGTTTCTCTGCAGTCCACGTCACCCTTCACATTAATGTTAATGAGAGAAAGAAGTTGCCGCACAGCGGAACGGTGCGTGCGCTGGATCCGCACGTGTCGTGTTGAACACGGTGTAATACGTGTATACTTGAGAGCGCTGATCCGCACGTGTCGTGTTGAACACGGTGGAATTGAGGACAACTGTCCCATCTCATTCTTTTCAGGCAGTTTTATCACAAGCCCATTGCAGAATTCTGTAAAATTTCTTTCGCTGTGCTACGAAGTAACGTTTATTACTGAAGAGTGGTGAATTGATGCTATGGGAATTGATGCATAGCATCAATTCCTCCTGATCCGTCCGTCTCCATTGCTTACCAAGGTTCACGATCAACCATCGTTTCTGAGGTAACCGACACCCGCAACTCCCGTTTCCAGGCCGTTCTACGGCCGTCAACCCCATGCGACCTACACCGCCATCCCCCACCTTCCCATCTCTTCCGTACTGATAAACACCCCGACCCATCACGAGTCACCGAAACCCTCCTCGCCTCTCCACTCCACCGCCACCATGCCTCTTGACTCCTCACCTCACCCCCCTGCCCACTGCGCATGCTCCTTTACCCTCCCTCTCCCCAACCGAGCGACCGCAACCCGAACAACCCGACCCCCTCTCCTAGCATGCCCCTATCCACGCTAATGCCAGCCCCGCTCCTCCTCCTCCTCTCCCTGAAGGCCTTCCTCTCGCCCTTCCCGCACTTCCTGCTCTCCGACACCGTCTGCACCACGCTCGTCTCCATCTCGCTCCTGCTCACCCCGTCCCACCTCCTCTCCTACCAGACCGACGTCCGCCTCGACCGTCTCTCGCTGCACCTCGCCCGCCTCATCGGCCTCCTCCTTCTCTCCTCCTCGCTGCACACGCACCGCGCCTTCACCACCCGCACCCTGCAAGAGCGCGCCGCCGCCTCCTCCTCGCGCGCCCTCACCGCCCTCATCCTCTTCCTCTGCGCCGTCCACGCGCGCCACCACTACCCCGCCTGGAACTTCCGCTTCGCCCACCTCACCGCCACGGGTGCGGCCTGCTGGTTCGCCCCGCACTTCTACTTCGCCCTTTCCACCGTCTCCACCGCAACCCCGGAGCCGAGGGGCGTCGTCGCCTTATTGTTCCTCGACTACTTTATGACCGTCGCCGTCGGCCTGGCCTGCCTCGCCTTCCCGCACGCCGTCCTGCGCACCCTCTCGGACGTCCCGCCGAACGCCGTCTCGGTTACGCTTGCCCGCGTTTTGGCTGCCATCTTAATTGGCTTGGCCGCCGTGTCGCAGGCGGGCATGGCGTACGCGAGCTTGGAGGCGAAGAGGCATGTCCACTTGACTCGGCTTTTGACGGCGGGTCCTGTGCTCATCCTGCTTTGTCTGGGCTGGGCCTGGCGCTGTTTTAATGACGTGGGGCTGTTCGTTGGCGCTGGAGCCGCAATCGTATGGGGGGCCAACTCGGCTCTTGGCTGTGCGGCCACTGTCTTCATTCAGCGGGCGCGCGATGCCGCACGAGCTTCGAACAAGGAAATTAATAAACTTTCACCTTCGTGAATGACACGTTACGATCACATGCCTTGCGTTGCCACATCTAGCGGACTACCTACTGCTTGTGTTACATCTTCTCTCGTATCGCTAAATGTGTCCAGAAGGAACTACTTCATTGTCGGCGAAAGCATACCGCTATGCTGCTTGAAGAAGAGCCTACTCTCACTATGTCTGCTCCCCAAACCAGAATCGTACGGCTTAATCGCGTTTCAGCAGCACACACATTAGAAGGCTGAACCAAAGCCCCAGCGGCTCGAATAAGACTATTCGTGGAGCGCGAAACCTGCAACATCCGTCTTTATCAACCGGACTCATCGTTCAGGAAGAACGAATCACCTTGCAAGGGCTTATCTCCCTCGTCTGCTTTTGGTGTGGACGGATCCCCCGACTTCTGCAGAATTGCCTTGCCTTCAATTTCAAGCCGCATTGCTTCAACGCGCTTCCGAGATTCGTCAGTATGCCCACCAGAAGGAAAGAGAGAAATATACTTTTTGTCCTTCGGATATTCGTTGATGTACCGCATATCTCTTAATATCTCTTTCCTTTTGTCCGCATCTTCCGGCTTGTCGCCGTGTTCGACAATCTTGTCAAGCGTACGTTGCAGTTTTCGCCGCTCGAAAAACTTTATCATCCGGTACTGGCTGGTTGTTTTCCTTTCCGCTTCCCGGCGGTCGTGCTCGTCCCTTATTCTAGCAAGCTCTTTTAGTTGTTCTTCCTTTGCTCTTTTCGATGCGGGCGTAAACTCTGAGCCTTTGTTCCTTAATAGCCTCTCGATGGACCGTATCTGGGAGCGCACAGACTTGGTCTTGCGTTGCCTCCCTCGCTGTTGGCTCTCGCTGGCCTTGCTTGGTTTTGAGATGCCGTGGTCCTTTCCATGAGCCTTTCTGTTGGCATTTGCCTGGGACCCTGTCGCAGGTGCGCCATCTTCGTCGGCATCATCAAAGCGCGTGTGCGCACCCATCGTGTTGACAAGCTTGCCAGAAGAAGTTGCGTCGGCGCAGGCGTAGCTGTGCTCTGCCTGGCTGTCGGAATAATTTAATGAAAGCACCAGACATTCTCAGAATCGAGGATTATTTTTTTTAGAAATGGGCAGGTCGGGAATCGGAAACCAAGTAAATCAGGCGCAGGCCTCCAAACAGCCGTTGCATATGCCCCAGCACAGATCAACCATCCAGGAAGAAAACCGCGGCAAGCCATGAGTCTACCCTCGGTTTTGCACGAAGGCGCTCGAAAGCGGCGTGGGTTCTTATGATTTAAGCTTCTTTGCAGTGACTTGAACATGCTCCGCATTAGTTTCATTGTTGGACGCGCAACGAAAGAGATGTTACATTGCAGGGTCTTTCTACTTGGATCAGGGCACTGCCTTCTGGGTCCTATCGTCTGCCCTCGATGGCTCCAGCTTCCTCTTTCTGGAAAGCCACCCACCGTAGCATAGAAGCAATACGCCATCAAATCACTCGCTTCAAAGATGTAGTTGGTCCAGTAGTCATCAAAACGATTTATCTTTTTGATGAGACTTCGATGTTACTCACGTAGCACATGGTTCCTGTTGCTTCAATCCATCAATTCTGTTCTTATCTAGGAGATTAGAAGCTAACAGCCCTAATAGAATACTAAAAGTAAGTATTATTAATGCTGATACCGGAGACCGCGACGGCGAAAGGTCCAGGTGAGGTTTGCGATTCTATAGGAAGCATCTTCATATCCTGTTCAACACAAGGGAAATTGCTTTCCAACTGCTTCCCTTTCGCCGGGCGAGAAACATGAGCAATATCCTTCGACAGATTTATCTCGTTTGTCGGTAATAAATGGGTATGGCATCATGTCTAGCAATATCCTTCGACAGATTTATCTCGTTGGTCGGTAATAAATGGGTATGGCATCATGTCTTGTCATCCGCCTAACACTCTTCTCAGGTTGCAGTCGAAGAGCTCTAGCTAGCCATCGAGCGGCGTGTGCTTCAGCGAGATATTCTTCTATTTGTTGGAGCCGCAGCAAGCTCGAATCACAAGGATGAGACAACTCATTCGCATGTCACAGATATCCACAAGTCTTGCTACTCAGGTAAAGCAAACGCATAAGCAGCTTGACAATTGCAAAGACGCTTCACGCAGCTTGCCGAGTAGAACGTTTCGAAACAGATTCAGCCGCAAAGTATTCATGCCTCTGCTTGCTTACGTTGGTGACAGACTTGCGTCATCTATAGAAAGCGAAAATAGAGAAAGCCTTTACGTCACAATTTCACCTTATCCAGCCCGGTAGCCTTCTTCGCGGCTGGCTTCGCTGCATACTGTTGCACAATATTCGAGATGCTCTTACTCGTCTGCTTCCCCGCATTGGCAATAGCCGAAGCCGCCGAGCTTGCGGAATGCGATACGTCACTAGCGATGTTCCCAAACGGATTCGACGCCGACGGATCCGCGCGTACACCATCCCGATTCCGGGCCGAGTCACTCGGCCCCGGCAGTGAAGCGTTCATGTGTTGCGCCAAGGCGTCGTCGTCGTCGTCGAAGGTCCCCTTCTTCGCCGCTGCCAGGTTCGCCCGCCGCGTGTTGCGCATCTCCTCCCAATCCAAGGTAAGACCGCGCGTGTATGGCATGAAGTCCTTCATGGCGGTGTTGACGCCGCGCAGCAGATGTTGCTCGGCCATAAAGTGGGCGGAGACGCGCTGGGCAAGCTCCTCGCGGTAGATGTGCTCGTACTTCAAGGCGTCATCGCATAAACGTTCGGACATCTCCTCGTAGTCACGCTTCGTTCTGTCAACAAGCTCCTGCTTGCTCGGCTTGGGGCTAGAGCCAGTGGCCAAGTCGGCATCCAGATCAATCATGGCGTCCGAGTACAAGGTGCGAACGGTCTTATACTCTTCCTTTGTAGACATAACGGTGGCGAGCCTGGCGTCCTCATCGGGGGTGTTGTACGTGAGGGGTTTATGAGCAATGTCGTCGAGATGCTCGACGTAAGCGCCGATGACCTTGTCCATGGTCTCCCTGCACCTGTTTAGGACGCGCTCCATGTCTGCGACGAGCCTTCTTTCCTCCATGTGCAAATCGCGGGTGTACGTGCCTTTGGCGTCGTCCCACTTGCGCTCGCCAAGTTCGTCCTTGAAGGCGTCGAGCATGGCCTGGTCCAGCTCGACCATGGTCTTTTGCGTGTGCTTGAGCTGGCTCTTCGCCGAGGTTGCCAAGGCGCTGACGCGCGCCTTCTTGCCTTTGATTTCCTCCACGCGCTTGGAGATGAAGTCGACGCGGGGGTTGCGCGTCAGGGCTGTGATTGGGAAGTGGGAAAAACAAGATTAGTATGGGGAAGTAATATCGGGCGGTGTGGGCAGATAGAAATGCGTGGGATGCGGAAATTGGAGGACGTACTGGTGCGCTTCCCCATCCTGTTCAAGACGCGCTGCTTGGCTTTTGCGTACATGCCGCCGATGACTGCTACCGGCTTTCCCTTCCGGTCGTCCTCCATGTGTGGGAGTGCTAGACGGCGGGTTGTTTCAAAAGGCACGTGGGGACTCAGCAGGGGATAATGGGGCTGAAGGGCTGTCTCGTCTGGCGGGGCAAGGCGATGAAACGGTGCTGCTCTGAGAAAAGTGAATGTGATACAGATGCGACTGTGGAACTAGACGCAGGGGCCATTGCACAGCAATGTGCAACATGACACTGGAAAGGCAAGCGGTGGCGCCGTTCTGTTTTTTGCTGTTCCATGATCATGAGGGCCATACTGTAGCACAGTGGCCCCCTGCAAGGGAATCCAGATCGCTTTCTTAAGTAGAATCCAGATCTCTTTTTGTAGTAGAATCCGGATCGCTTTCTTGAGTAGGATCCAGATCAATACACCCCCGGATCCGCAACGCATTCATCGGGTGCTCAAGTGCTCTGTCATCCACCTGTGTCATCCAGGTCTCGCAAACAGCGCCGATCTGCTGAGGAAATCAATACCCGCACACCAGCACCTAACTCTTTACCTCACTCCAGCGGTCGCCTACTCAACCGGCTCCAAACCTCGGTGTGCGAACCACCATCCACCGCAACAACGAATCCGCGATGCCGTCGGCGCTGATTTACGGCTGCTTGGGTGCGGGCCTGGCCGCTTTTTCGAACGCGGCGCGTAAGCTGCCGCTCATGAGACGTGAGTGATGCGAAGCTCTTGCTCGCTCGCGAGTTGCGCGATGCCGTCGGATCGAGAGTGCTAACTGGGTGCATGTGCGTGTGTTGGCTTGTGGGCGATGTTTGCAGAGCCGTGGGAACATGTCATCTACTTCGGCATTGGGGCATACTTCGGTAGCAAGATAGAAGGGTAAGCCCTTTGCACAATCCACAAAGCCCACCAACAGCGTTATCCGGCCTTCTAATCTTTGGACGACAACTCTACGTCTTTTCAACACACTAACAACATCCTACCATTTGCTATTGACAGATTCAAGGAAGCCAAAAGGCAAGAACTGGAAGCGGTACTGGAGGAGCGCGCTCGGCTATCAAAAGCGAAAGACGCTCGCGTCGCCGCCAGAAACGCCGCCCTGCAAGCCCAAGGGAGTGCGTAGACCGTGCTCAATTGCTCTTTAATCAATGACTGTTTTACATCGCTTCAACCTCCATTGAGTCTCCCGCTCCAACCCGCGCGCGCTCCCCCATTTTCGTGATATGCTTCGTCGTCAATTCCCCGAGACGTTTCCTGTACAACCCGGCGTCTGGGTAGTCGTCAGCGCATTGCGCCAACATCTCCATCGTCGCATCGATAGCTGAATATGGCACGTAAAACCTCTCCATACTATCCGCGCCCTCACTATTCCTTTGCACGCTGTTCAGCCCCACCATCAACGCTTTTGCCGCATCTACTGGCCTTCGGTTGCGCAATAAAGTCCTTACCACACCAGCCGCATCTCCCCTTCGCTGACCCGAGAACAATTGTGCCTTAGTGCTGGTCCCCTGCGCAAATGCTTCACTACCCCACGCCGCAGCATCCACCAACCACTGCGGGCATGCGACTGCCCCGGCAGACGACGACAGCGCACTCTCCAATGCAATTAGATTCCAATTCCGACATCCCTCTACCTCTCCCCCGTTCGATACGATTGCTCCAAGTAAGTCATCGAGCTCGGGATAGCTAAAGCTCGTCAAACTTTGATCGGATGCCTTGGCTGCCGCCATCTTGACCACATCAGTCAGCAAACGATCCCCAACTTCCTCTCTCCACGCACTTGCCAGCTCTGCTAAGAGCAGCATATTCTCGTAACTGGCCCGCTCACTCAACATTGAGATAACCCACCGTACCCCCTCAACTTGCGGAAGTAGCAAGACTGAGTCAGCCGAAGTAACAAATTGCACAAATTGCACTCTAGTATCAGAAGAATTCTCGTCAGAGACCATTCTGGTTAGCACCTTACTTTGAGCATGGGCCAGCAGAAGTCTGCGTGAAACCCAAGACTCACTCACAAGGCCTTTTCGCTCATTTCCTGCACCTGCCATAAAAGAAAATCGCGAACGCGCAATGAACCTTCGATGAGGAGGTTCGAGTTGTGCAGCGGCGAGCGCGTACCCCAATGCCTCGCATTTCGTTTTTGCCCATTCCAGTAGGATTTTCAACTTGGATTCGGTGGACAAATTGGGAGATTCAGTCACAAAACATTTCCTTATCGTCGATAGTCCTTCAGCGCTCAGCCGTTCACCCCACTCAAGTACCGACGTTGCAGCACTTGATACATCATCGCGTAAAATGTGCCAGGAGTACAGTTGTTCGTACCCGTTAACTGGTCTCTTCAAACCTTCTGTCGTCTGAGATTCTACCATCTGGTCACCGCTCTTGAAATGAATACCATCAAGAACATATCGGACATTAAACGCTTCACTAGCTCTCGCCCTTCGTTGCAAGGCTAGTCCACAAAGCACGCCAAGCGGTTCTGGGAGATTGCACTCTGCCAACCAGTTTAGAGTACCTTTGTCAGCCACTGCATCAACAAGCAGTCCGACTGTGTCGCGGAGCGCATTACTCTCAAGTGAGCTTGCGCCTGCATTTGGATCTCCTGGGAATGGGTCCTTCAGTATGGCATTCAGGGCATGTTCGACACTACCAGCATCCAAAAACCTTGTGAAAGCGGAGGCTCTCATCATCTCATATCGATTCGTGTCCGGCGCTAACTGCATCGCCTCCAATGACGCAGCAGCAGCACTCTGCGATGCTCCGCTACTTTCCAACATTCGTACAGCCCTTTCCAAAAGCCAAAAACCAAGGTGAGCTCTGAACTTTGAGATGCTTGGTCCTAAGGGCTCTGGACGAGCAGTTCCGGCCATGATGACGTCTTCTCCGTCTTCAAGCGCGTCTGAAACATTGACTTCGTCAGGTGTAAGTCCAGCGAGTTGAACGGCGCACCCTACATCGAGATCAGAGACTTCTTTTCCTTTCAAACTCCACTGTGAAGCTGTAAGAAAGAAGGCATAGGCCTTCTCACTTCGCCAGGCAGCCTGTTCCGGTCCAGATTGACTTTCCTTTGAGCTTTTGCCGATCCACGAGTCTGTGAGCCAGTACGAAGAAGAATGGGTTTTCATAAGCCACGATCTACCACTTGCAAACATAGACGACACGGGTAAAGCGTTGCTTGCTTGTTCTGCGGCCACAAGTAGCAAATCGACTTCCGAGAAAGTTTGGAGAAAATTGAGTAGAGGTGCTCCTGGCTGCAAGGCTGATGATAACGATTGAATCGCGGACTTAAAGTCCGAGGAGGACATTTCTTCATCCATCTCAGTGCAATATCTCTGCGCCAAGCGATCCGTGAGGGGGATGTCTGTTTCAACTCCAGAAAAACTCATCACAATCGACAACATGAACTTCAGCTCACTCTTAGCGGTGGAATCCTTACCCTCTAAATTGTACTGAGCTGCGAGTACTTGACACAAGCCATGTGAAGCAAGGAAGAAACCTACCTTGGCAGACTTGAGTCGCCCCCTATCGAGCAGGAGATGTGCTTGATTTTGTACAGCTTTTTGTTCTGCTTCCAATAATCCTCGAAACACAAAAAGTGACCTTTGCCTGGCCACAACCAGCCCCACGCCCTCAACTGCACACATGTCTCTTACCAGGAGCTCTTCGGATTTCGTGATGTGCTCGGCTCTCGCTTTCACTCGTTGCCACATATTGTCGTCGTCCTGATCGAATATAGTGTTCAGTACGGTCGCTTCGAGTTGTTCCCTCGAAACAGAATCTGGGTTCTCCAATCGTAGTGCTTTTGAAACAGCTTCTACCGAAAATCTGTGCGCTTGAAGCAGCTGGTCTTTTGGGTTTTGACATGCGTCGTTGAGAATTTTCGCGAGCCCAAACGGCCGCTCGATGTCATCGAAAGCAGTTTACAACGTACCGGTTGGAATACCAGTACCATCATCTACTTCGCTTGGTACATTTAAGACTCCTGATACAAAACCTGACCGAGACCCAACAATCACGTCTTCACCGCTGAACGAAGCGGAGACAATAGGGTCGACAGGACCCATCCTCGTCGCAATTGGCGTCGTCGCAAGCGCAAGTGATCGCTCTCCACGCCTTTTTGCCGTAATGTGAAATACTCGAAGCGAGTCGGCATTTGGATCTTCGTCGGCCAAAACAGCTGCAATCACAGATCCGTCAAGACCTGTTACAAGAAAATGAGTGACTAGGCCGCTGGCAAGTGTTACTGGCAGCATTATATCCGCAATATAGTCGTAACACGTCCCTCCAAAGGTGAATACGCAAACCCTTCCACTAGCATGGAGCGATGCAAATGCTTTCACATGCAGCTTCATTTTCGCGACGCAAAGCACCGCATCCATACTTCTCCAATATGACCCTCTCTTCTCTTCTCGAGATGTCCTCGACGAACTCGAAACTAGTCTTGGCTCATGCGAGTTTGCTTCTACCGTATTCCTTCCCGCGGAAGTGGCCCCAACTCTGGGACTGCCAAAGAACCTTGTCATGAGGCCAAAAGATATAGAGGACGCCACTGATCGCTGAGAGGGAAGAGACTCGACAGACTCGCCAGAAACCATGCTCGTATCTTCAGCAATACTACTGCCCTGTATACCGGCATGTGCTCCAGGCGCAAATGTAATTAGATCCATGTTTGCAGGCGTTCCATCTTTAAACCTGACGATGGCGCAAGTGCCATCCTTTCGACCGATAACGTAATCGCCATCAACATCGGCCATGCAAGTGATCCAAGTCGACGGAAACGACCGGCGGCAAATCTCTTCGTGGGCGATCGTCGCATTCACACCAGGGACCGGCATGTTCAACCGAATCTGTACGAGCACGCACCCATGTTTGCTCGTGTAGCAAGACACCAGCACTTCGATGGTTTCCGAGGCTTGATTGGCCTCCGTCAAGACTAGTGGCCTGCATGTAAGAGGTGCGGAGAAGTTCAAGCGAAAGCCCTTACGGCTTACGATATTCTCAAATATTAGCGCCTTTCCCTCCTCTACCCTCCATGCAATCGTCTCGCCGGCCAGCCCAGCCCATGTACCACGGGTTGTACCCAAATCGTCTAAGTCTGCACATGTGAAGACGATGTCACCGCGCGTGAAACGCGCTGAATCATTGATATTACCATAATCAAACAAACGTGTCTCACGCATCGCCTCGGGCCCGGCAGTTCTGGCAGAGCTATTGCGCACAGCGGGCAACACGCAGAAATGGTTACTGCCACTCCTTCACTCCTCCGCCTCAACCGGATCAAAGGATAGTCAGACTTTTTGCACAAGGGGCGGCTGGGTACAGTATTGCAGTTTATCGCAAATGGTTGCGAGGTAGAGCAAATATTTCCCTGGGTCTTCTTCGTTGGAGCAAAGATTTGGAGCTTTTGTTAAATTTCCGTGGATTTATGAGCGATTTTTTGATCCTTCGCGGGAGTCAGGAGGGGTGTGAATTCTCACCCCCCTCATTTTGAAGTACTGTAGACGTTTCACCTCGTGACAGGTGATCAAGAGCACTTTCCTTGCCTTTAAGGTGAGGCACACGACGAACCTCTCATCAAAGCTATGGGCCGAGAGGGCTTGAATGATAGGCAGGTACTCTTCCTCATTTACGACGGTTGCTGGAAAAGAATGGGGCAGACATTCGTACAGACCATACGCTCTCATACAGGCACCGCATTGCTTGAGGGAGAAATGACTGATTGAGCTTGCGTGAAAGCTCCCGAGACATGCTTTGACACAAACTGTTCATCAGAAAACTAAATGGATGGACAGGCCGGCCGATGTCCTCTCATGGAAAGAGCTGAAGCAAGGACGCTACTTGTTTATTCATCTCGTACATGAGACAATATTTCATCTGTACACTTTAATTAATGTTCTTATCGCCAAAGGAAGATCTCGAAAACGCTGGCGCACGATAGATATAAACAGACATGCTATTCTGAGGGAAGGCTTCGGTTTTGCACCAAAGCATTTAAAGATGCTTCTAAACGGCGGACGCGATCTTCAAGAGCTTTTGCAGGACTTCCTACCTTCTTTCTCTCCGGTTCTTGAAACGCAGCCTGCAATTGTGCGTGTGCTTCTTCTACCTCTCGAAGCAACGGAGACCCTTCTACGTGGGATATGGCTTCGCCATGCCTCCTGACAATGCCAGTGGGAGATTCATCTATTTCTGCCGTAATATCGTGTTCCCAGTTTGCAAACTTTGTTACAGTCGCGCGCACCCGACAAGAGGGAAAAATCGAGGGAATCGTTAGCTTACGCACGTGGATATCAGAAACGTGGCTGGGATAAATTGAGTCCGGAACGAGGTGCCTGGTGTGGAAGAACGTATACAGAGTGACTTACCGCGTGGTCGTTATCTTCAGTATCATCTTTTTCAATACTCAACGAAGCTGCCGTGCCTAGTTCCGTGTCATTATCAGACTCCATCACTCTGGCAAACCTATCATCGGCGCTAACATGTCGCCGTGACCGGCGCTGTTGATACCTTTGCTCTTCGATATAAGATCGCAGTCTCGCGAGCCTCATTTCCTTCTTCTCCAACTCTTTCTCGTATATGCCCATGTTCTGAAGTAGCCTCTTCTTTTCATGCATGCTCTGCTTCAGAAGCGCTTCCCGTGATTCAAGTTCCCTCTCCAATGACGAAATCTTGTCCCTTTGTACCCGTTCAGACCGTTCCGCCGCCTCCGCTCTCTCCCTCGCTACATCTGCGGCAGAGCTCCGCGCCCGCCATCTCTCCGCCTCTACCTTCGTTTCTGCAAGCTGCGCTTCCGCTAGTTCGCGAGCCAAGATAGCATCCTGCACCCTCTTGCTATCCTGTGCCTTTTCCTCTGCGATAGCAACACGCCTCCGCAACCCAAGACATACCCTCTCAAGCGCCGTCGCTTTTTTTCTCTCTTCGACGAACCTCTTATCTGCGTCATCAGCACGTGCGGTCATACGGCGAAGCGCTCTCTCTGTGTCGACGACTTGGCTTCGCAAACGCGCCGCTTCCGCCACAGTCATGGAGCCCTTTCCCGCCTGTTCCAAACTCTCTGCACGCAAACGGTCGTAATCAAGGCGCATGTTATCCAGCAGTCGCGCAGAGCGGTCGACAGTAGCGCTGAGCGAAGAATTCTCTGAGCGTAAGCGTTCCGTCTCTTCTTGAAGTGCGTCGCCGCGTGCTTCGGAAGCCTCCAGCATGGACTGGAGCCTATCCATTTCCTTTCGCTGCGAACCTTCGCGGCTCGTGACCGCGCTCGCAAAAATTTCGTCGCTCGGCACAGGATTTGAAACCGCCACACGGATGGCGTCAGCGTTGCGCTGTGGCCTGAGCTCTGCCTCTTCATCCACAGATGGCTTTGATGGCCTTTTTTCACGGAAGGCTGCAGCGATTCCGTCGGCGAAAGTCTGACCGACAGCCCGCAAGCGCTCGAGTGAGGCGCGACGCTCTTGAGTAGGAGAGCGGCTTTCTATTTGGTCATCATCCGTCATGGAGATGACACGTGACAACCGGCGTTTCCACGTTTCACGCACTTGTCGTTCTTCCAATGAAAGGTTTAACTCAATTGGTGACGTTGAGAAGGAAGAAGAAGAGAGCGTTGCTATCGTTGAAAATGTGGGACAGAGATAGGGTCGAAGTGGAGATGGCGCAATGGAAAGAAAAAAAGGCCGCCCACAAGCATCTGCTTAATGTGCTCGAACAACCGCCATTTTTTAAATTTCAAATATTTTTGGGCTCGTGGCTATCGATCAAAGCAGGCTGCCAACCGCTTTAAGTGTCACTTATTCGTGTTAGCTGAGGTGTTTAGCAAATCGAGGGGATCCTCGCAGGCCCCTTTCTGCTTACGTAAGTTGGCGCTTGCAAACGCGAAGCGACAAATCGCTATGTGGCGACTACCCTAGGTCCAGGTCGGAGAGGTTCTATCGTTTACTGTTGTAGAACGCACCAGCAATGGTTGCGATTTTCATACAACTCTGCCTACTGTGAATCAAGCATCCATATCCATATATTGTATGTAACGGCTTCTCATGACCAGACGGCACTCTCCGAGTAAGGAACAATATTCCGCCCAGCGAACACATAGGATGGTTGTTTTGTCAACGAAGATCTATTTTGTATTGAGAACGCACCTTCTCGTACGTATTGTAGTTGATGGATCCTGTCAAGTCAACCAGATCCATCATTTCACCAATGAGAGCGTGGAAAGTGCCCTTAACGCCACAAGCACATGAAACATACGCCTCCACACTACTTTGCTGTGCACATTTCGGCTTGGACGCTTTCGCGCCACAGCAGTAACATTGTACCCTTCTCGAATCCACTTGTGCTGCAGTAGAGCGGCTGCAATGGGTCTCTTCGTAGGATCTTCGTTGAGAAGCGCTGCACAAAATCCCACAGCATCTGGCGGAACCCCAGGATGCTTAGCAAGTCTGTCCAAGTCGCTTTGGAGACTCGCCCGCGTCTCATTCACTCTTCCGGGGAGCTTTGGACGTCCCATAGATGGAAAAACTCCAACTAGGCAGACGTAGCACACCACGCCTAGAGAAAATATATCTGCTGGGGCTCCGTACCGTTCCCCGCGCAGAATTTCGGGTGCTACGTACGCCTGCGTTCCAAGCCTTTCAGAGCAGAAGTCAAATATGCCACGGTTGGAATGTGAATGCAATGTCGTGGCGAAGCCAAAGTCAGCCAACAAGATTCTGGGACGTGCTGAGTGTGTTATCTGAACAAGTACGTTGTCACACTTAACGTCCCTGTGGACGATATTAGCCTGATGTAGCGCAAGTATGCATCGTCCAATTTGGGTCACGATATATCGAACAAAGGGCTCTGCTAGAGCCCCTTGTTGGCTCTCGAGCATGTTGCTGAGCGATCCTCCGTTGCAATGCTGCATTACGATATGGCAATAGTTTTCATCGTAGAAGACGTCGAACACTTGAGCGACATGGCGAGTCAGCTGCGCCGCTTTGTGTTGAAGTAGTATTTCATATAGAATCTTTTCTAGCTTGTAACTGCAAGACGACATGCCTTCATGCGGTACTAGTGCTATTGTTTTTATGGCCACTTGGTCTCGTGGATTGAGTTTGCTTTTTCCAAGGGAGACGATTGAGTCCGCTCCTTTGCCCAGCTGCTGCTGTACAGAATATGAGTCTTGAATTTTTCGGATCCTTGCCAAATGAAGGCAGGTAAGCCATCGCTGAAATGTCTGGGCATCATCTCCTAGAAGGACGAGGGTTCTCGGATGATTTTGGCGTTCTTTAGTCGAAACATACGCCAGTGCATTTGAACTCAATCGAATATGCACTTTGAGGCCTGGCTTCGCATTAGAAATGGTAGATTCGTAAAGGCAAAACCTTTTTAACACAGGAGAAGTTTCAGTGAGATGTTGGGTTAAGAAACCCCATTGTAAGCGATAGTAAAAGCGTTCTGTACGAAAGTTAAATCTTCCCACTCGTGAGTATAGCCATCCGTTCATGTGCGATATCTGTCGTAGAACATCTTTTGGTGGTATGCTGAAGTAATTGCGTTCCGAGCGTGTCTGTAGCATAGTACGTGCAATCTTCTGAACACCAACTCGGAATGAGTCTTCATGCTACACTGAAAGCAAAGCAATATTGCATCATTCTTTTATATCTGATGAGGTACGAGGGATTTCCATCTGCTGCATTGATATGCGAAAAGCTGTTTTGATCAATGCTCAAAAATTGACTTGACTTTTCTACACGAATACTTGTACAAAATAGGCTCTACTACTGACTTCCAACAAACCTCGTCGTAACACTTGAAACGTGTTCGGCTTTGCTTTTCGCTGTATGTCACCACCACATCAGAAACCAGAACGCTTGAAGTTTTTGTTAATTTGAATAAATATAAATCTCTGCCCTTCAGATAAGATGCAACTTACCGTGGCAAAGCAGTCCACTGCGGACGGTTCAGGAGCCCAAGAGGCGGCGACGTACAGTGGCAGCAATTTTTAAACGCGTCCTATTCATTGACTGGTAATGAGGACGTGACTTTGTTGGGCATCGGGGAATACCGGGCAATCCGCTTTTCCCTGAATTCGCAAAAATAATAGAGTGGGATTTTCACCAGATGCCAAAAAACAAACCCCTTTCAAATTGAATATGCCAGCGACAGGCAACTCGGAAATGGTTTTGAGAGAAGAGAGAATCTTTCACGGACGTGCAAAATGGTGTTGTTTTCTTTAGACAAATGAACGAAAGTCATTTAGTTTGCATTTATTCTGACATACACGACGACATTGCCCCTTGTTCGGGTGCTTTTTTTTTTCTTTGTTACTAACCGCTACTTTCTTCAATTCGCCGAGGGAAACTATTCGCTTTGCACTCACTGTAGATCCTTTGAGCACCCCCGCACTTTGGACAAGTAAACTCTAGCTCCTACTAGCTAGCTCTAGTCGCAATATTTCGGGAAGAATAAAAAGGTGGGGATACTCCGTGTTTGGCGTGGTAACAGAGCAGGCTTCCATGTCTACTCCTCCGAACTGCGTTCTTCCTCGCGACGGAAGCATCGGGGCATGCGAAATTATAAATCCGTGGAAATAGACCAATCGCATCTCATTTGAGCCTCCCAGAAGGGTACAGTACCAGCACAGTAATGTTACGGTAGATATAGTGCGTGTGGGTGATATGGGGAAATCGATTTTGGCGGTTGCACACTTTTTTTGGACGGAAATTTTATTGAGCTCGTTCTCACCATTGCATGGGGCAAAATTGCTCAAGTCGCGCATCGTATCACCCTCCGCCGTCATCTTTGCATTGTTAGGGGGCGTGCACCAAACGGGCAAGGGAATTGGAGCTTGCAAGCGGGTCAAGAATGGCGTTTATCGGAACAAACGGGCTGGTGCGACACCAAGGAACGGTCTCGCAGAATGCAGTCAAACGGGCGACTTCGCGGCGATCTGGTCCGCAATGCGCACACCGTGCTTCGCGGCGGTCGGCGCTGGTGCTGCTCGGGGCGGTGGCGAGCAGCGGCGCGCTGAGCGCGCTATTTCCGGGCGCGGCGCGCGGGGCGTCGGAGCTGCCCGGCCTGCCCCCGGGCGCGCGGGAATTCTCGCGCGTGCTGGGTGCGCGGCGGCAGTGGGCGGAGCTGGCGGCGGTGCTGACGTCTGGGCGCGCGCTTGAGGACGGCGAGTGGGACTCGCTGCGCGCGTACCTGCGGACGATCTACCAGACGTCGGCCGACATGGACTTTCTGAGCGAGCCGTGGGACAAGCCGCTGCGCGCGCGCGCCACGGACGGGCTCAAGCGGTTCCGCGGGGCGGTCAAGGCCATGGACAAGCCCGCCGCGGACAAGGACGTGCGGAAGGTGGCGGAGCTGCACGCGCAGGTGATGCGCGAGTTCGACGCGTTTTTCGACGTGCTGCGCGAGGCGAGCACCGGCGGGATTCCCGAGGAGCTCTAGTTTTTTACTTGGGCGTGTCAAAAAAGTACGGGAGGTGCAAGCGAAATGAAAAAAAGAACTGTGTTGCATGGGACGGCGTGGACTAGTTGCGGCGGTCGTCGTAGTTGCCGAAGAAGTCCTCCTTGTTCTGCGAGCCGTCGAACTGCAGGAAGAGGGTGAGGAAGACGGCCGGGACGAGGATGAGGGGGATGTAGAGCAGGGCGGAGTCGATGCCCAGGCCGGCGCCGGTGCCCTCGCTAGCCAGGGCGGGGGCGGCCGCGGCCAGGGCAGGGACGGCCGCGGCGACGCGCGCGGCGTTCTTCCGCAGCGACATGCGCACGGCGGGGCGCGTGGAGACGGCGCGTGTCGAGCTCAGCGCGGGCAGGGCGACGGCGGGGACGAAGGCGGCGGAGACCATTGCGGGTTGGAGAAGTGTGGGTTGGAGAGACGGGGTTGGAGAGACGGGGTTGGGGATGCTGCGCGGGGTCGGGGAGGGGGGTGGAGGAAAAGGAGCAGCGGAAAGAGAGGGTGAGGGAGGAGGCGATGATTTTGTGCTGTATGAGGGAGCGGTTGGAAGGGGCGGAAAAGATCTTTTCTGGTACACATGCAAAAGCGATCTCCCGTGCACCTCGATGGAAGGGACCGTTTCGCGGGCGACACGTGTCCTACGAGAGGCGTGACGTGTGGGAGGTGTCATATGGCCAATACGTGGAATTTGTGGCCACGTGGTACACGTGGCGAGCGGGTGAGTGTTCTCGAGCGGATGATTGGCTGCTCTGGCACAGCCCGCGGCCACCCGTCTCTCAGCTCAAATCCGCACCCATCTACTACTCATCATTGCCTCCCACGCGCAACAACTTTTTCTGCCTTTTCACCCCCTCTTCTACACGTCAGTGATCCTTCTCGTGCTCCTCGTGCTCCTCCCGCTCTCTCGTCTCAACCTCTCATCGTCCCACTGCATTCCCTTCCCCCCGCCGCCTTCCCCCTTGCCTCCTTCCGCCCGGCCCCCTCCTTTCATCGTCCCCCCTCACTCCCGCTCCCCCCTCCCTCCCCACCCCCCGCCGCACCCCCCCTCCTCCAACGATGGGCAACCAGCTCCCCCCCGACACGCGCGCCTCCACCGCTGCTGCGGCGGCGCCAGCCATCCCACTGTCGTTCGGCGAGAAGATGGCTGCGGGCGCCATCGCGCGTGGCGTGGCGCAGACGGTGCTGCACCCGGTGGACGTCGTCCGGACGCGCCTGCAGGCGCGGGGCGTGTCCTCGTCGTGGCGCCCGTCCGTCTTCATCAAGGGCGTCGTGCCGCAGATCTCGCTGGCCATCCCGGCCGGCGCCATGCAGTTCCTGGCCTTCGAGGCCGCCAAGGAGAAGCTGGCCCAGCTGCTGCCGGACGACTCCTTCGCCCAGGTCCGCGTCCTGCTCGCGGGCGCCGCGGGCGCCCTCGCCGCCGCCAGCTTCCGCATCCCGCAGGAGGTCCTCAAGCAGCGCATCCAGGCAGACATCTACCCGAATGTCCTCGTCGCGCTCAGGGAGACCCTCGGCAAGCAGGGCGTGCTCAGCTTGTACAAGGGCTCGGTCGCCACCATCTCGAGGGACGTCCCATGGAACGCCCTCTCGTTCCTGTTCCACGCCCAGGGGAAGAAGATCTTCGCAAACGTCAAGGGCCGCGCCCCGAGGAACGACGAGAACCTGGCGGTCGCGGGCGTCGCCGGCGCCGTCGCCGCCATTATTATGACCCCGGTCGACGTCGTTAAGACCCGCATCATGACCCAGAGGGTCGGCGCCGCCGTGCAGTATTCGGGCATCATCGCCACGCTGCAGAAGATCGTCGCGGAGGAGGGCGCCGGCACCCTCATGAAGGGCGTCTTGCCGCGGATCGTCTTCCTGGCCCCACTGGCGGGCATCACCTTTTCCGTCTATGAGGCCGTCGCCAAGAATATCCGACAGCGCAAGGCCGCCGAGGCTGTTCAGGTGGGGGAGCAACCTGCCGACAATTCGCGCGTCGTCCGGAAGGCGCCCAGGAAGGGGCTCCGTCTCAGGGCCTTTGGCCTACGTTTTGCAAAGACACCTGCGAGAGTCGCTGCCGCCAAGGCACCCATGGGGACCTTTGTTGGGGATTATGCCGCTGCAAGCCCAGTCTTCTTTTCGTTACCATGCTAGGGGGCGCGGTATACAGGGAGGGAATAGACGCCGTTAGCATTAAAACTTCTTTACCGATCCTGTACATACAAAAAAACAAAAAGGTCTCACATGGAGACGCATCGACTATCTTGCGTGATAGTGTGTGTGAACGGCATATTACGGTATATGTATCATCTCGACAAAACTGGTCCATCCAACTCGGCAATTGTGACAACGTCATGCGCAATATGAGTCCGAACCTACACACACATACGTGCCCAGGATGGCGGGTTCGGAATGCAGTGAAGCCGCCCATTCATGACTCCAATCGCGCCACCCTCAATGCTTCACCGGAAAAAGGTTCAGCGTATGAGACTTCGCTCCACAGACTTGGCTTCACGCTTTGCCGTGCCGACAAAAAAAAAAAAACTGCAGCACGTTGACGCGTTATCCATAGCACCTGATTTTGGTAAGCGCACCTTTCTTCGCACTCTGCCCCTTCCGCTCAAGGTACTGCTGATGATACCCTTCCGCCTTGCAATAGTTTTGCACCTTTGCAATCTCAGTGGCGACGGGCTTCGATAGCCTTCTCCTCGCGTCGGCGCTCCACTCATTAATCTCCACCATTTGATCCTCATCATAAAAATACACACCGCTGCGATACTGCGTCCCGGTATCATTTCCCTGCTTATTCAATGACGTCGGATCGTGCCTGCTCTCCCAGACCTCGAGCAATTGGGTGACGGAAATCTGTCGCTCGTCATACGTGACACGCACGACCTCAGCCGAGCCCGTCATGCCAGAACACACGGCCTCGTAGCTGACACTGCCAAACTTCCCATTCGAGTAGCCTACCTCTGTGTCTACGACACCGACGACCCTTTGGAACGCGAGCTCGACCCCCCAGAAGCAGCCGGCGCCGAGCACGATTGTCTTGAGAATCGGCCCGTCGCTCCCAGAACGCGTCAACTGCACCGGAGCGGGGTGCAGAGCCTGCTTGAGCGCTCCGCTCTCCGAAAAACTGGAGAGGTCATCGCTTCCACCAATGTGGTTGCGCGCGATGTAAATGTTCGGAACGGTGCGCTGCCCCGTCTTCTCGAAGAGATACTGCTGGACGTCTTCGCCCAGCGCGCCCATCTCGTCTACCTCGAAGACCTTGGGTGGTGGGGCGGTATCAAGGCCGCGGGCAGCTTCCTGCAGGGTGGCTTTTGCGCGGTGGCAAAATCCGCAGTAGGTCTTGCTGAACATGACGACGTGATTGGCCGCGATAGCCTCCTCGACAAGCTTTTCCGCAGGGCGTTGCGGCGGGCCCGGTTGGTCGGCAGGGCTCTTCACGGCCTCGGCGATGCGGGTGACAAGCTCGTTGCTGGCGGCGAGGGCAGCGACATCGTCGGAGCCTCCGACGAACTGCCCCGCGATGAAGACACTGGGGACGGTGGTGCGGCCGGTCTTCTCTGCGAGGTAGGCCTGTATCTGGGACCCTTCCTCACCCATGTGGTCGAGCTCGAAGGTCTTGGGGGCGTCGAAGGCTGGGACATGCTGCGCGGCGGCGGCGATGTTGTCCTTGGCGGCGACGCAGTACGGGCAGAAGCTCTTCGAAAAGACGACGACGGGGTTGTTCCGCACGGCGTCCTCGACGAGCTGCTGCGGGGCGGGCGGGGCGGGCTGAGGGGCGGGCTGAGGGGCGGGCGGGGCGAGCGCCGGCTCCGGCTTCGGCTCCGGCGATTGTGGGGCCGGGTGCAGCTCGGCGAGGCGGTCCGGGGCCTGCGTGAGCATCTGCTTGAGCACGCCGCTGCGCTCGAACTGGGCGGTCTCGTCGCCGCCACCGACTGAGCGGCCGCCGATGAAGACGTTGGGCACAGTGCGGCGCGACGTCTTCTCGGCCAAGTAGGCCTGGACTTGGGCGCCCAGCGCGCCCATGCGGTTGAGCTCGTAGACCTTCGGCGGGGTGAAGGAGGCGACTGACGCGCCTGCGCGCGAGATAGAGGTCTTCGCCTTCGTGCAGTACGGGCAGTAGGTCTTGGAGAATATGACGACCGGGTGCGACGCGATGGCGCTCTCCACTAGGTCCGAGGCCGAGGCGGAGGTCGAGGACGGCTTCATTGTCTTGTTACCCATTGTGAAGGGGTGGTGCGCGATGTGAGGTGGG